AAATTAAAATGTTTATAGGTAAGGGGGGTGGTGGGGGGTATTTTGTATGAAAGAGGAGTTTTATGTTCCACTTTTGTTTTGCAGATCACTTCATATAATATATGACTACAGTAAATGTGAATATACAAAATTAGTATCAGTTCTGTAACATGAGGGATAAAGATTACCTCACACTTGTCAGTGGCATAACATTTACCAATATTTATAACAAATTCAGGATTATTAAAGATGCACATAAGCTTTATGATTTCTGAATTGTAATAAGGAAATTATGAGTTTATAAATTAAGTACATGACATTTCAAACACTATTTTTTGTGAAATTATTAAGTCAGTGTTTACATAATTACTTCACATACAAAGAACTGAAGCAAATTCTTCAACTGGTTAAGTAGCATACAGATACTGAAACAATCCAGTTGTTTCCTGCTGTAGATTTCTGGACTGATTTAGCAACTCACCACAACCTTCAACCTTGTAACAAAGCTTTGGCATGTGGGGAAGAAAAATACTTCAAAATATCCTTTTTGGTTTTGTTTTAAAAAGTCTGTATGGTCAAATTGTAAGACTTTTAAACAGCTACAAGCTATGTAGTAGCTTGTAATATGGAAGGTCAAATATTGCCTAGGTAAGGAAGAAGTTTCAATATTTCACTGGAACATGATCCTCTGCACAGAGAAAAAATTCTGTGCTTTTTAAAACATCTTCTTAACCTATTTTAATTTCCATGCTTAATTCTCCTCTGGAATAACAGCAGACCTTTTTACTGAAGTCAAGAGGTATGCCTAAATATGTTAAAAAAAAAGAAAAAAAAGAAAAAGAAAAAAGAAAAAGGAAAAAAACAACCAAACAACCCCTCCCAAAAAAATCCCAAACACTGCCCCCACTTCTAAGGAGCTTGCCAGTACATTATTATTAAAGTCATACAGTTATCAAAATATGAATTAAACATATTCACACACTAGTGGCAACTTAGAAGTAGCAAAGTATTTGCACAATACATCTCACCAAGCAAAGATTTCAAACAACTTCATACATTACAGAGCATTAGCATATACAGAACAATTTTAGACATACGTTCAATGCTGGTTTTGTTGGTTGTTTTTTATTTTCAATAAAATAATGGAGAATAGAAATGTCCTATGACCCTATGAATTAGAAATGTATTACTAGCTACATCAAAATATGCCTTATGAAGGTCAAAATCCAGAGAGAGAAACTACACCAATCCTAGCAGAAGCTTTGTTATTTTAAACTGTGGAGTGGTCTACCTTATCAATGACACCACTCCACTGCCAACTACTGAGCAGTCCTACTACCTTTATCCAAACTACCTTTGGCAACAGGTGGGCAGAGAACAGTGTTTTCACTGGATGGAGATGTACTTTCAGGAGTACCTCAGAGACACAGACTTAGTAACACTTTGCTGCTATTAAAGATTCCAGACAAAGGTTCCAGAAAAGGCCGTCCAGACGGCCTTTTATACCTACCTACCCCACTTTTATCAATATCAAGACAGTTATGTCAACTTCTAGGAGAAGGACCATCGAAATGGTCAGTATACTTAAAAAAAAATATACTAAGAACAACATAAATTAAAAAAAATAACATACACTAAGTTGCCCCAACTAACCTACTTTCCTCCTCTGACAGATACCATAGAGAAGAGTGACAACAAACTGCTACTGGTTGCTATCGGTGGTGACAAGCAACCAGGAGATGCTTAGGCTAGTTGCCATGATGGTTTTGGCTGGGAAAAATCTAAGATCCAAATATATTTTCAATAGATATCATTAACCAAAAGTATATTAATACATAGGGCACAGATTCACTCATGGTAGAATATACACAAAATGTTTAAATATCTGAAGTGGCACGCAAGAAGATACTATTTTAATCTAAAATTCCAAAATTTGTATATACCAGGGTAAAGGAAAGAGAACTATAACTACAAGTCATTACTTCAAGAAACAGGGGACAAAGTCACTGTGATACTCACCACTGTGAAATTCATAACCTTCAAAATCCATATTGTCATTGCTAAGTTAACAATCATGGTAACCAATAGTAGAAGGACAAAGAAGTATAAGCACCTCTTTCGCCATCCATAGATCCCTACTGGGTAAAACTGAGGATGTTCAGTACTTGGGAGGCTGTTCTGTTGTGTTGCTAATATATACTGCTCTCGTGTCATCTGGAAAAGAAAGATGTAAGCATAGGTAAGCAAATGAGAGGTCTTTTTGCATAGGTATTACTACATGAACTTTATCTGAGAACATATAGAAAATCAGTTTCTATGAGAACAAAAGTGATGCGTTAATTCAGCATAAACCACATCAGTGTTATTTTTACTAGGCATTTAGTAAATTTGGTGATGTTCATTAATTTAAAGTAAGCTTTTGGTTGGATATTTCAAAGTGGATTTGCATTTCAAATTTAGAGCAAGAAACTGTAAGAAATATTTATGTAATCCACGCATATATATTATATTTTTGTTGTCCTTTAACAGATCATTCAGGGAAAAATATCTTCAGCAAAAAAAGTCATGTAACATTTTTTGTATTGGTTTTGGCTAAGATAAAAATAATTTTATTTATAGTAGCTTATAGCCAAAACCAATACACTTCTTCATATGAATAGAAGAAAAATCTGTTCTTTCTAGAAAGGCATAAATTATAACTGAACTCTTCTATTATACTTAGTAAATTAAATTAATGATTTATGCCATTATATATACACCTGTACTTTACACAAAAGTATACCATTGTATATACGATATTTTACACACAAAGGAATAAGAAAACCTTCAAACTTTTAATTTTGCCCTTTAGCAGATACAGATACTACCATCCTAACTGTTTGCAAACTGTTTAAAGAAGTTATATTTAATTCTTCTTTAGGGCAAAAATGTTTATTGCACTTAATATGAAAATAAATAACATTTTTTACATCCTTAACTTTCCTTGACAGATATTTATATTCATATTCAACTGCTACACTGCCCACAGTCTGGAAGGTATTAACTTTCCTCCATGACTTAAAAATTAAATTAAAGCAATCTCGTTTGTTTATGGAAAAGTTCTTCCTGAACCATGCTCATTTAAAAGATTGATTTAATAGGTTTTTTCCTCAACAGGAGGAAAAAATCCCCAAATCTAAAACAAAGAAATATCCAAAACAAAATAATAATTAAAAAAAAAAATAATCATAAACCAGATAGAATGATCAGGTTTACACCTAAAAACTGCCTTTCTTTCCACTAAAAGTAAGCAAAGAATGCACAAAAATAGGTCAGTTGATTCAATTAGAAATAAAAATAAATAAATAAATCCATTAGAAGGATGAAACAAATGTTGACTTCATAAGATTATTTTAAAGATAAAAAGGTTTACATAAACATCTGTATTGCTGGATATTTATACAAATCAAAACTCTTGAGATTTTACCATGCACTAGTTAGTGAATGAGATATTAATGGCATAAATTAACTCATTGTGAGTAATTACAACCACAAGTCATAGATTACACATCCATATTACAACAATTAACACATCATTAAATAAGTCAAAACAGAAATAATTAATTTATAATGCACATTTTAAAATAAGCTAGTAAAGATGTATTTTGTAATTTTTGTTCTTTTAAATAAGAACTGCTTCTCTTTGCCTATAATTTCAATTAAACGTAACATTTAGTAGTTGATTTATGTGGTGAACCTTTAAAGCAGAACTTCCATCAACAACATTTCTCAGTTCTCCCAAAGCAATGTATCAGTAGGCTTCAAGACCTTAGATCACCCCTTTATTGTATTCTGGCAGTATTCAGCCTAGCTTTGGTCTGAATTCCTTATGAATTCAGAAACAAAATGCACAAAAGGGTTAATAATTTCCTCCTTATAATGAGCTTCTAAACGTTTATTTAGCCAGCTGTTGTGACAAAACTGTAATGCATTATTACATTTTGAGATATAAAATAATGAGTATTTTTAACCATTTCCATTGTCTTGAGACCTCAGTCTACAGATCTCTTATAAAACAAGTGTTACTGTTAAAAAATATTGAAAAGTCAACTTCTAGATTGTGAGAATGCCAGAAGTAGCACTGCCCCTAAAACTATGACTGAACCCCAAGAAATACAGCCTTTGCAACACAATAATTAAATACAATGACATTTTATTTCATCACCACAGTCAGGCATCATTCAGTTTCCCTCAGTGTATACTGTTCAACTGAGAGAGACTTGGCAATGCAAGCTGTACTCCTGCAGGCCATGGTGGTCCATGGTGGAGCAGATATTCACCTGGCAGCCTGTGGAGGACCCAATGCTGAAGCAGAAGCATGTGCCACAGTCTGTGGCCCCATGGAGAGCCTCTGCTGTAGCAGGCTCCTGGAAGGACCTGTGACCCCAGGGAGAAGAGCCACCAGTGGAGAAGCAGGTTTTCTGGCAGGACCTAGTGACTCATGGGTAACCCACGATATAGTAGTGCATTCCTGAAAGACTGCACTCTCTAGAAAGGACCCATGCTGGAGCAGTTTGTGAAGAACTGCAGCCCCTGGGCAGGATCTACACTGCAGAAGTTAACGAAGCAGTGTCCCTCATGGGAAGGACCCCATTCTGAAGCAGGGGAAGAATACGAGGAGGAAGGGAGAGAAGAGGCAATGTGTAACAAATTGACCACAACTCCCATTCCCCGTCCCTCTGAGCTGCTTGGGAGAAGACAGAGCAGTGAAGAATGAAGTTGAGCCTGGGAAGAAGGGATGGGTGGCAGAAAGTTGTTTTAAGATTTGTTCTTATTTCTCATAATCCTACTCTCTTATTAATTGGCAATAAATTAAATCAGTTTCCTCAAGCTGAGACTGTTTTGCCTGTGACGGGAAGTGCTGACTAACCTCCTTGTCTGTATCTCAACCCATAAGCCTTTTGTAATATTTTCTCTCCCCCCATCAATTGAGGAGAGAGAGTGATGGAACAGCTTGGTGGGCGTCTGGTGACTAGCCAAGGTCAACCCATCACAATCTACAAGCAATTTTTTTTCTTAAAACTGTTGTATATTTTTCCAATTAAAAAAACCCAACCAAATAACAACAAAAAAAATTCACCAAAATAGCATTTTAATTTTGAAAGTGTTACATATAAAGCCACAGACCACCAGCTGTCTTTGAACCTCAAGCAAGTTGGTCAAACCCATTTCATATAACATCAGTTCTTCCCAACCACACACATGCATCAAGGCATCAGTTCCCTAAGAACTGCATATACATGCATACATAATAAACAGGCCAAAATAATTTGCCATTTTCTATGAATATAAAAATATTTTTGTTATTTTTATTTTATTTTTAGGGTTAATAGTCTGGCTGTTTACAGTTATTGGCAGCACTCTGACTACTGATTTGCATACTCATGTAAAAATAATCTTATTTTTAAACTATTGAAAACAAAAACAATTCCTAGTTGGTCTGGTAATTAGTACCTGGTAATGTTAAAAGTATTAAGGAAGAAAAAAACTCCAACACTAAAATGTTTTATGAATATGTCAATTTAGTGTAATGTTTTTTTATCACCAGTAACTGAAAAGATACCAGACCATATCTACTTCGGATGAGTATTTTTAACTGAGAAGGAACTACTGCGAGCTCTGAGAGGGAACTGCTGTGAGCTCTGCGTCTTTGCAGATCATGAAAAGGCAAAGAAAATTCAGAACACTGGGAAGATTAGTAAGTTATTAAAGTATTTTTAGAAAAATTACTTGCATGAGCCTGCTAAACTATGCAATATGACTATCTTTCAGAAAACTGCTCACACCTAAAAAAACCTAACAATTTTTTTGCTAAGAATTCTGTTTAATTAAATGCTTGTATGCTTTATACATAAAAATACATACACACAGGTACTTATGAATAGAGATGTATTAATGTAGATCACAGAAATACATAAAAATATACACAAAGATTTTCAATCACTGAGTTGCTATTTCACCCTATTCAGCTTTTAAAATACATAATAATATACATTCTAAACTAGGCAACTGACAGACCTTATTAATGTGGAATTACTATTAGATGGACATTTAAAAAATCTGCTGTATAATCTTAATATTATTCCATTTTTCAGGTCTTGTAAATATGAATGGCGACAACATTTCAAGATAAGACGAGTTATGGTATGAAAGTTTACCTCAGTTTCTGACATTAGGATTCTTTAGGGTCTCAAACCAGACATAATTAAATTGCAGAAGTGCTCCATTAAGTCTTTAAAGTGTTTCAGTGTTAGCATCTTAAACTGGTAAACTTCATGGTGCACACATGCATATATGCACAAAGTCATAAGCAACCCAGAGACACATACTAAAGAAATTTAAAATGCTTCTGTGCTCTGATAATAAATGAGATTTCTAGTTCAAATCCAAAGTAATATGGGATACATTACACAGCAACTACAAAGAAATTAAATCAGTTCTTAACAATGTACTGAATGACCAGCATAAAGAAGATAAAGGAAACTATCAGGCAATCTAATAAAAATCTAGTATGTAAGAGGAAATGGGGGAAGGTAGGACAGAAGCAAAACTTCCTAAGTGATTTGACAGAATATCTACAATAGCTACAATTTTGTTCAGATCTAAACCAAGTATTTTTCTCTGGTAATGAAGGTTGAAACTCCAGTGTTTTTCCTATCCCTATTCTGATTTGATATAGTATAAATGGACTTGATAACTGCTATAACATAAATAGAAAATATTTATTTAAAGCTACAAGTAATTTTCAGTTCTCAAAAGATATTATCTCGACAAATACTTAGCTACATTAAAAAAACCCAAACATAAACAAACAAAAACAACAAAAGCAAAACAACTTAAACCAAAGAAATCAGCATCTAATTTTCAGATAAAAATCTGAAACTGTTTACTACTGATATCATGAAACAGGTAAGCGAAAAAAAAAATATTATTTTTGTTGCCTCCGCTGTTGTAATTGTAGCCTGGCACATGACACTGCTGCTAGATATTTCTGTTACTGGTTGATTCTCTGTGCATTATTTTCTTAATTCACAGAGCAAAAAACATAAATATATTTTAAAATATAAAAATACAGTATGACAGCATCTAGACACAATAATGACGTAGGCTGATTAGGAACATACCAGCAAGCAAATGTTTTGTTGACATGAAAAGATAGAAGAAAAACTATAAAT